TATATATATATATATATATATATATATATATATATATATATATATATATATATATATATATATATATATATATATATATATATATATATATATATATATATACTATATATATATATATATATATATATATATATATATATATATATATATATATATATATATGTGTGTGTGTGATAATAAACTTTCAAATATGAATTTGATATATACTGAATATATTATAACTGAGCTTAAAAATTCTTGATGAGGTCTGAGTGACTCGTTACACTGTTGTTATACAACTTAGCTGTTACAAAGAGTTACACTTAAACTAATACTAATATGTACATACTCATGAATCACATACTCTACAAGCCATAGTTTGACTATTTATGGTTTGAAATAATATGGTACTGTTACTGTTCTTCAGTCTTAAAGTTAAAGTATTGTGTTTTCACTTCAGTAATTGATATTATATTTATAGTTACGACTTAAAGTTATGTACACCTACAGTTTATATTTATAATTATGCAATTTGCTGAGTGTTTGTGAATTTTATAATAATGAACACTTGAGTTATTGGAATATTAGTTTAGCTTGAAAGCAAAGAAGAATATTTAATAACATGTCAACAAAATTTTGTCTGCTATTTTAAGTGTCAAGAAGACTCATTTGAAGTTATTGTCAAATACCATAGTGATTAGGATATGACAAACACAGTAGTGGTCTAGGCTCTTTTATATCATCATAAGAAAGATTTTACACTAGTGATTAAAGTACTTTATTTTTCTTTGCAAAAGAAAAAGACTGGATAGATGGTTTGTGGTTGCAAAATAAATTTGTAAGGGATTTAATATTATTAATGTTTTCCATTTGTGGAAAAATTGTTATAGTAAAAAAGTAGTTTGTATATTCTTTAGAGTTAGATTACTTAATCAAGCTGTTCACATAACCTGTTCAGCTACCTTTTTTTTTGACAGCCATTTGTCTGTCAAGATGGAAAAACTTGAACAGACAATTTTGCAATTCCCATTAACATATGGGATCGGAGGATCAGAATATCTAGTTTGTTTTCTTAATTATTAGTTAAGAAAATATTAGAAATATGGTTTCATGAGCTATGGGTAAACTTGAATATTTCCTCTGTCATAAACAATAGCAGTTATATGACATTATACATTCAACATTGACTCTAATATGCTCCAAAGTTGTGTTTTAATAAATCAATAAAATAAATTGTCCCAGTAATTATAAGCCTATTAGTCTTACATCAGTTGTGAGAAAAGTTTGTTAAAAGATGCTTTGTAACATTGGTTAACAAAGTTTAGAATTTTATTGGATAGTCAACATGGCTTCACTAAGGGGAAAAGTTGTTTTACAAATCTTTTAACATTATTTGAAAAGGTTA